CTAGATATTGATTTCCTACAGCACTACGAATTGCTAGTCGATTCACGTAGGCTGCAGCTAATCGATACTTCGTCGAACAGCAAATTCATGGCCTTTAAAGCTCACACAAAGGCGTACCGAATCCTCAGCACTTTTCATTCGCGTGACGATAAATTCCACGCTTTATTCGAGAAATTCCCCAGAATAATTAAACCTCTCGAGGAGATTTCATCGGTGACCAATTGTGTGGTACACCACATAGTCACCCGCGGACCACCAGTCACGGCAAGACCACGCCGACTGGCACCGGAAAAATTAGCTTTTTCTAAACGTGAGTTTGACAATTTACTATCTACTGGTATTATTCGTCCTTCTCACAGTCCTTGGGCCTCTCCCCTTCATATGGTGCGCAAAAAGGATGAGGTTAGTCGGAGACCATGCGGCGACTACCGAGCACTAAACGTAGTTACGCGCTTTGATAGCTACCTCATCCCCCACATACACGGCATCGCTCAAGGGCACGACTATCTTTTCTAAGATCGATCTGGTACGAGCATATCACCAGATCCCAGTCGCTCTTGAAGATATCGAAAAAACTGCTATCACGACTCCTTTCGGTCTGTTTGAGTTCCTACGAATGCCATTTGGATTAAGGAATGCTGCTCAAACTTTCCAAAGGTTTATCGGTAGCATAGTACGAGACTTGGATTTTGTTCACGTCTATATTGATGACCTGTTAATCGCATCATCAAACGTAGATGAACATTATCAACACCTTACGCTATTATTCCAACGTCTTTCGGATAATGGAATAGTAGTCAACCCAGACAAATGTGAATTGGGTAAACTAGAAATAATATTTTTGGGTCACATTATAAGAAAAGAGGGTATTCTGCCTTGCGACGACAAAGTTCGAGCAATAAGGGAGTACAACGTGCCGTCCTCAATCAAGGAGCTGAAGGCTTTCCTCGGTTTGGTTAACTTCTACCGACGTTTCATCCCGCACGCGGCACAACAGTTACGACCATTAACCGATTTACTTCGCGGTAATCCACGCAAATTAGAATTGAACGATACTGCACGTACTGCATTCTGAGAGATCAAAGTGGCTCTCGCTGAAGTTACACTTCTCGCTCATCCTGACCCATCAGCTACGCTTAGTATAGCGGTTGATGCATCGGATTTTGCTATAGGAGCCGTTATGCAACAGAATATCTCCGGTAGTTGGCAACCGCCTGAATTTTTCTCACGACGACTTACTCCCACGGAGACGAGATATAGCGCTTTTGGTCGCGAACTGCTAGCAGACTAATGCGCCATCAAACATTTCCGGCACGCAGTAGAAGGACGACAACTCATCTTATTCACCGACCATAAGCCCTTAACGTATGCCCTGCATACCAAGTCTGATCGCTACTCACCACGAGAGTGCAGACATTTGGACTATATCTCCCAGTTACGACAGACCTTCGTCACATTAAAGGCGAGTCGAACTATGTTGCTGATGCTCTATCACGTGTCCAGACGAATGCAGTTACCTTACCGGTACTCGATCTTCCTGCTATGGCCGCCGTTCAAGCAAACGATCCTTTCTGTACAGAAGCACCACAATCTTCGTCCCTTCAGTGCCGGGAAGTACCCTAGCTACTAGCTCAGGTACTATCCTATGTGATACTTCTACCGGTCTTCCTCGACCCATCGTACACTCTGCCTATCGCCGTCTCGTCTTCGATGCCCTTCATGGATTGTCTCATCCAGGTATCGCAGCCACATTACGTCTCATCGCTGCACGATACGTCTGGCCGTCCATGAATAAAGATGTTCGTATGTGGGTAAAGCAATGCTTACAGTGTCAACGATCAAAAGTGCACAGGCACGTAGCTGCCCCCATTGGCACGTTCGCTACGCCTGATGCTCGCTTTGATCACGTTCATATAGACATTGTAGGACTATTGCCACCATCGAATGGGTATGATCACAAACTCACGTGCATCGACCGCTTTACAAGATGGCCCGAAGCTATTCCCATCATGTCTATTACGGCGGAGACAGTTGCTCACCGCCTCGTAGAACGATGGATAGCATTGTACGGTTGTCCCTCGATTGTCACGACTGACCGAGGACAACAATTCGAGTCCGCATTATTCTCCTCACTGATCCGGCTGCTTGGTACGGAACGCATACGCACTACCGCCTACCATCCATCATCGAATGGTTTAGTCGAACGGTTTCATCGGCAACTTAAAAGTGCTCTTCGAGCACACGAAAACGACAATTGGTACGAAACCTTACCGCTCGTTCTCTTAGGCATCAGAACGAGTTTGAAGGCAGATATTCAATGTTCCGCCGCTGAACTTGTATACGGCACGACATTGCGTCTGCCTGGGGAATTCTTCACACCACGGAGCAGTAACGATTTCGGTAAATCAGACTACGTCCATCGACTGTCTGCATTTATGCGAACGCTGTCTCCGGTGTCAACTCGAATACAACATCGACAGGTCGCTCTCCCCCGAGAATTATCTACCTGTTCACATGTTTTCATACGAGTAGATTCGGTACGCAAACCTTTGCAACAGCCTTACGAAGGCCCTTTTCACGTGATCTCTCGTCACGAAAAGACCTCCAAGGTTGATCGACATGGCCGCGTCGAGATCGTCAGCATTGATCGTCCCAAACCAGCACACGTCGATGACAGTGCCTACCCGATAACCTGAGACTCAATGCTAGACCTATCAAACCTTCTAGCGGGATCTCTACATTTACCTCGGATCCCACGCTAGATACATCAGAGACCTCATTCTCACGTCCCGGTCAGCAGCACGCGTCATCTGCACCATCTACGGACGAGACTTCCGCCTCACGTCCAGATCGGCAGACCACGCCGCCCTTGACCTCGGATGAGATCGCAGGCTCACGAAGTACGAACGAGACTACCGTCTCACGTTCCGGTCGCCGAGTACGATTACCCGTACGCTTTCGCGACTAACCGCACAGTCAATAACGGGTACGGTGTAGGATTATTCCTATACTACACGCATGCTACACTTTTCTTGTTTTGATATTCTTTTTTGTATCCTGAGCCCACGCCTCCGACTATCTCTCGTTTGGTAACGTCGATTTCAGTCAACCTTGGCGAAAGCTGGCCTGATCACCCACGCTCTAGTCAACGCACTCAGTCGATAATCTGGTCTTGAATCCGCCTGGTATACGCTTGGTCGTCATGGTCGCTCCCGGTTTCTTGGCTCAGCGTGGTTTCGCCCTACGTCAGCAGCGTTTTCTGGTCCGCACCCCTACGAACGCAGTCATCACATCCTGGATACAAACCACTCTGGTGTAGTATGCTAATTCGAGCAACAAATACAGCACACTTCTCCTGGTACCGTTCTACGGAAAAGACTTTCGTTGGCAACTCGAGGATCAACGATCACTTCCTGCTTCGCCAATTCTTTCGTCCTACAACCGCGCTTTTGCCGATCAGTCCAACGAATCAAGGAAATGGAGCATCGCGAGGAGATGCAGTCCCATGGTAGCCAGATGGATAAGCTAAGTTACCTTCCTGAATAGTGCCTATAATTTTAATACCTCTACCACTATAGGATTTCAATCGACAATTTTATCTCTGTGCTAATGGAGTATGGCAACTTGAACTGACGTACGTACGTACGAAGTTCTACGTTGTTGCTGACTGATTACTAAAAACATATTATTATTACATAGTGATATATTCATCGACGAGAGCTTCGTTGCATTCATTTGTATTTCTATATAATCTATTTGTCTAGAATTCAAGAAAAAAATCCCTGAAACTGAAATAGCTGAACTAGGAACAATTACAATCGACAAAACTGATCACTAAAACAACGTGGCAATTACAGTCAGGAAAACATTGACATTTCTTATGATAGATCTTCATCAATGTTACCGTTTGAAATAGCTATTTTTACTTTTAAAAAATCAACTTTTTTATACTACATACATATAGTATTAGCCTATATGACCTAGAAATCAGACGCTCTCGAAATAATACACTTCAATAACATATTCAGTATGAGAAATACACTGTTATTAGTTGGAGGGGGGAAATGCACTCAAATTCCCCTACATTACAGATATTGAGGTGTATTGTACAAAATACAATTTAACAGAATCAATATAAGTAAAAAGATGAATAACAACTGAAAAGAGCTGGAAAGGATTGCCAAGGATAGGGTTGGATGAAGAATGCATGTGAGCGACCTATGCTCCTTCACGAGCAGTAACAGGTGTAAGTAAGTAAGGGATATTAGTAATACCCGCCATCATGAAACAAATTTATATATATATATGACTGAATATGTAAAACTCAGTTCACTGATTCGATTGGACTATATAGCTAAAACTGATAATAAATATTTAAAAGAGAAAAATAGTGTAGACCATGTGAATATGGTTTTTAAAATACTGAAAACTAGTAATTTTTTTTTAAAATTCACTTGATATTGTTTACTTGAATCGGTCCATTGATGTTCAGGACTCAGTAGCTAAGTGGGTAACGCTAGAGCATCTTAAGCAAACAGTATAGGATTCGAGTCCCAGAGTGAACATCAACTGTGAGGTGAAGTTACATCCAGATAATGAGTCTCAAATACGACGAAATATGGGTCAAACTGGATTCCACTGCTGGCCACTATTAAACTTTGGTTATAATGCTTGTGAGTTAAGGCAATATCGAGTCAAAACATATACCAACAAGAGATTGATCAATCGCAGTCCTAACACAACAATGGGAAGATAAATCTAAAACAACACCAAGTGAATTTAAACTTCACCTCACACAAGAAGGTGGCCTATCAGGACTCAGTAGCTAAGTGGATAACGTGATCGCATTTGAAGCGAACGGTGCTGAGTTCATGGAAACGAAGAATTTTATGTGTGTTTAATGTCGGTTATATGAATGACTCTGTTCATTTACCTTTTCATCTATCAAACAATTATATATTTGATTTATATTTATGAATCAAACAACAAGACAAGCTTACTTGATGTGTTTAAATTATGTTCAATAATCAATTTTCCAGCTGATTCAATCATACGCATACATCTAGGTGATTGTACACCATAAGCATTATTGATTAAATGTGATACACCATATTTAATGCACAATTTAGTAATGGCATGTAGTCTACAATATAAATGGGGGAAAGGTACAAAAGATATAAAACACTTTTTAGATAAGAAACAAAAACTTAAAATACTATTTCATTTAAGTAAACAATATTCTTAGTTCATTCGAATCGTGCAGGGTAGGATTATAGATGCGCATTGTTAAGGAGTCTCACACTAGAGACGAAACGATCATCTACTCCTTCCAAGTTTTCTATGGTGGTTCAGCTTCAATAGACTTATGATCTCAACTATTGAAATTACTATAATATTCACCAAAAAAAACTCCCTTCTGATATTAATAAACTTACTTATCTGGAACTCTAGGTGCAAAACAATTTGTAGTTGTAAAAATACATACAATATCATCAGATGTAGAATTTTCTATGGATTTATCATCTATATTATAAGCTTTTGCAGCATCTGGCCAATGATCTAGTAAATATTTAGCAGGATTCTTTAATGCTATCTCTAAAGCATCAAGATTTGAACAAAGTTGATCATTTGAAGAATCTGAGACTAATTCGATAGGGATAGGTATTAATCCTGAAGAGAAAGGAAAAGAATACGTAGAATACATATCATTCAAAGACCGCAGTATAGCGCATAGAGTAAAACTAGAAAAATCACCTGATGTTTTAATAAGGGATGATAAGTCAGCTGAATATATGATGAGATGATAATTAAATGAATTACTAACAAAATAAACCTATCTGAATCAATATAGCTACACTATAAATATGCATGAATTATAAGTACTTTTATTACCCCCATTTGGATAATTCTTGGTTCTCTGCTCAGTTTGATTGGTTAAGCGTAACGCGTATACACAGTACCTAAACTCAGCCGATAATGATCAGAGACTTTATGGATTGATAACATCTTTCAAAATGAGTACCGTTCATAATTTTTTGAACTACCTTCTACTTACTTTAAGGAAGATAGTAAGTCGAGTCAGACGATAGTCATGGACAAACTCCAACAAATGATGAAAGTTCATGATTTTAGGAACAGTACACTATTGTCGGCTTTTAATCTAAGCTTAACCTCAGATTCTCTCATCAGTTGGTTTTATGTTGTTTGAACAATGATGTAAAAATACGTAAGGATAAATATTGACGCAACTTTTCATTTATTGATCATTTATAATAGCCCAAGAGAACAGACTGCATTCCTATCTACCATACGTGGTCTCTAATAGTTGGAAACGTGAGTGTGTGTTTTACAAGAAAAACTTCAGAGAAAACAAATTGTCGAAATGAGAGATCGAAGGGGAAACCTTATTGCATAAAGATACTGAAGAATGTATCCCATGTACTGAATAAACCCATGTCTTTGAGTTTAATAAGAACGAAATTGATCTTTCAACTTTTCTAAGTATCGAACTACTGTTTATTTACTCTGGATTGAGAAAATCAATGTATTTGTGACGTTCTATTCCGTCGATGAGATAAGATAGAATTCCCTACCTTTTGATATTTCTCAACAACTTTCCCGTTGAGAATATTTTCGAAATAGTACTGAAATTAGTAAATGATAATAGACTTTATCATGCTGATATGATTTTACTAAAAGATAGGATAGAAGTTAGATGCTAAAGCACTTTGTACTATCATTCAAACCAAACATGCTTTATCAAGATTGGTAAATCATAGGCATTTCTGATTACGTAAAGAACTACCAATTGGATGAATAATCAATATCCAGATGTAAACAGGCCCCCAAATGCCCTGGTATGGCCGAGAGTGGGGGGAGTCCGCTCCTCCTCTCGAAATCCTCTCACATGGCCACGCGTATACAGCGCCTGCCAGGGAAGTCCTTCTCACTGCCTTCTCGTGACGGGGGTGTTGTTTACGAAAATGAGAGGACGAAAAGCGAATGTCCGGCGCTATAACCGGATCCCAAATCAATGGTGCACATGGGCTCCAGTATCCTGAAGGAACAAATGGCTTATGAACCAATCGTTGGTCACCGGCTACCATGGAACTGCATCTCCTCACGATGCTCCACTGCCTTGTGGATCAGACGTCCAGGTCAAAGGCTCCGGGTGTGACCCCCTAAGAAAACCACCTGCTTCGGTTTGGGCACCCGAGCAGTATCACAGCCCTCACACATATCAAATGAGATCTGTGTGGCGCATATGTATTTGGTGCCTTCTTGTACCGATATCTATGTGTTAAAATAAATAATAAATAAAGATGTAAACAACAGGCTTACATGTATATAGTTACATATCTTTTTTAACTTATGAGTTAAATGACATAGCTTATCGAAAGTACATCATCAACCTAACGAATGGGGGTAACTGTAGAATACATAATTCATGACTACAAACTAAATGTAAACAATTAGAAGAAAGTAATATGACTTTTTACAACACATCCTGCACCAATCCAATCACAATTGACGGAGAAGATCTGGAAGATGTAAAACCCTTTACATATTTTGGCAGCATCATTGATGAACACAGTGGATCTGATACAGATGTGAAAGCGCAGATCGGTAAAACAAGAGTAGCATGTTTACAATTGAAGAACGTTTAGAACTTAAAACAATTGTCAACCAACACCAAAGTCAGCATCTTCAATACAAATGTCAAGACAGTTCTACTGTATGAGGCGGTAACTTGGAGAACTACGAAAGCGATTATCCAAAAGATACAAGTGTTTATTAACAGTTGTCCAGATCCCAGCGGACGAAGAAATCAGAAAGAAGCGCTGGAAGTGGATAGGACACATATTGAGGAAAGCACCCAACTGCGTTACAAGACAAGCCCTCACTTGGAATCCTTAAGGACAAAGGAGAAGAGGAAGACCAAAAAACATTTTACGCCGAGAAATGGAGATAGACATGAGAAGAATAAACAAAAATTGGATAGAACTAGAAAGGAATGTCCAGGAGAGAATGGGTTGGAGAATGCTGGTCGGTGGTCTATGTTCCATTGGGAGTAACAGGCGTAAGTAAGTAAGAAATGATTTTTTACAAACCAGAAATAAATACAAATGAATATTACTTTATATCTATCTCATAGAACATTAACTGGACAAAAATGATTGCTATTACATAATTGCTAGTGAGGTGTAACTGATAGAGTTTATATTGTATTGTAAGGCAGCTACCTAGATACCAATGACATTGGATGATGTACTATATTGTGAATTGATTGTAATTGAAGACGTAAACCACTGTATTTCAAATCAATAGTTCAAATGTAATAAATTTACCGAGAGATATAATAGTTCTCTACTTGATTCCTGTAAAGTCATGGATATGCATTGCTAAGAAGTCTCATCCTAACGCGTCTTTACTTGAAAAACGAAACTCAAGCAAAACGCATACTCATTGTCTAACCCTCTATGAATAAAAAGACTAATTTATCCACCTAATCAAAACTGATCAGTGCAGAGGGGATCAATATTTTTAGTAAACCTCTGATAGAGAAACAAAAAGGAACATTGTGATTTTTGACAAGAACTCATTACAAACACTCATACGGTTATCAATAATGCAATGCAACAACAACACTTGCTTAATACACTTTTTAAAACAATGTCGAAATACACACTAGATCAATGAAAATAGACTATACTATGCGATGTTGCTGTTATGATAGATGACTTTCTTGAGATTTACTGTATAGAAAGTCTATTATGATTTGTTGAAATACAACAGATAGTTACTAAAAAAAAAAGTACCAAAATCTTCAAAATTAATCAGTGTATTATACTAACCTGCAGCTAGCATACATTTAAAACATGACTTCTGATCAATACGTGACCATAATACAAAGTTAGCTCGATATGAACGACGTCTTTTCATAGCCAGTAAACATAGTGTTAATGACATTCCAGTAGCCATTGGTACAAGAAAGCATGCAGATGTACTTGGTGATCCTTTAATATGACAATAATATATTATCATTTTAAAGGAAAAGGAACAAATATTTTCATTATTAAGTAGTAATATTGCGGGAAAAAATTAGATTTAGAATCAGTCATTTTGTAATTATATCACACTCCTAATAAGTAGTATAGTTGTAGTGAACAGAACACCAGTGGAGACAATCGAATGTAATTGACACACAAATTACAAAGCATCTCAATAAAATCTAACAGTCATATAGTAAATGTTTAATTTGCAAAATGTCTATCAATTGTCTCAAATGACTCAGACTTCATTGTTCTTGCATTTTCACACAAATTACATTGTGTTTTCATTCTTTACTATTTGATCTTCTTGTCTTTCTGCTGCCAGACATTCTGTTCACGACCAACATAATAGATTACTTATGTCTACATAAGTAGCACACACCACGTAGTTATTCAACTCATTTTTAAGTTGACTAATCATGAATTTTAAGTGATCAAATTGTATTATAAATACTATGAAATTTTAACAGAAATTTATGGATGCTCACTGTTGAGAGTTCCACACTAGAATGAAATGGCCATCCAGTGCTTCTAGGTTTTTCATGGTAGCCAAGCATTAAATTGACTCATGAATACAACTTTATAAATATCAACATTTCATCATATTTGTGTGTGGGCTGTGATACTGCCCGGGTACCCAAACCGAAGCAGGTGGTTTTTTTAGGGGGCCACACTCCGAGCCTTTGATCTAATAGTTTAACCCACAAGGCAGCGGAGCATTGTGAGATGTAGTCTCATGGTAGCCGGTGACCAAAAATTGGTTCATAAGCCATTTGTTCCTTCAGGATACTGGAGCTCATGTGCACCATTGGTTTTGGATCCGGTTATAGCGCCGGACATTCGCTTTTCGTCCTCTCATTTTCGTAGGCAACACCCGTGGTGCGAGAAGGCAGTAAGAAGGACTTCCCTAGCAGAGGCTGTATATGCGTAGTTGTGTGAGAGCATTTCGAGAGGGAGGGAGGGCCCACTCCACTCTTGGCCATACCAGGGCATTTCTTTTCTTCAAATTCTCATTGTTTTGTGTGGCGCATATATATTTGGTGTCCTTTTGTACCAATATTTATGTGTTCAGATAAAAAAAAATGAATTCAACTAATAAATTACTAAAATCTCCACAAAACCCCTCTTCTGATAGTGATTCGAGAGTAATTGGAACCTAATGGGAATATGTACTAAATATTAGAGAATATTTGACGACGACAATAACTGGTTAATGTTAAGTAACATTTGACAGTGGTCATTCCTTGAGATTCATATTACTCACATGATTGTTTAATATTAAACAGCACCGACCATAGTTTTGCTGCTAATCCAAAACTTCTCCATTTTAGAGACGAAAAACATTAATTGGGATAAAATTTAAGGTTACTAGGAAATGGTAGTTAGGAAGGTCATTTTCTTACTAGTTTTTACCGGTAATCAACACCAATTACAGAACCACCGAAATTGGAACATCGGTTTGGTCGTAGTTTGTCCCCCTTTCCAAAATGCCAAACTATCTCCCACAAAGTGCTTCTACACGGTCATGTTTGCAGCATAAGCCAAGAAAATCCCAAACACTACCTTTAGGTCGTGAGAATGCTGCTATGAAATTGAAACGGAAAAGGATCTTCGGCACTTAAATCAGCTGAATGGACACAGAGATCCTACCTTAATTCAGAATCCGTAAGGGATATAATCTTTAGGATTTCGAGGGGAACAAACGTATTTTAACCACTGCTGACATGAGAATGGATCTTCAAAAGTTGCTTCAATACAGTACCTTTTGAATGGGACCTCTAAAGTAAGCAATCAGAAAAGTGGTCCCATTAAGAAAGCTATCTGCTTCAGCATCAGCGTTTTGGTAGTATTCCGCGTCACATACAGATATGGTGATTAGAAGAAAAAATGTACACCTAGTTTGGAACTTTTAGAAACCGATCAGGCGTCAGGTATCACCGACAAAATTGGATAATCATCACGCCATATCGTGGAACTATTGACCGAAGTCTGGCATGTGGACCATTGGATTTTTACTCGATGATATAACACCTAAAGTTTCTAGGTCCAATCTTGTATAAAAGTTATGGATATACAATACTGCGAAATACCAAATTAAGACAAAACTCTATTGAAATTCTCTCCAGTTTACTATGATTCTCCAGGTAATATCAGTTCGTGATAAAAAATTTAAATAAAATCTGAGGATCTAAGACGAAATTATATTATTAAGCTTGTAAAGTATATGGTTTGAGCTTCAAACGCCAATCGTATAGAAGAATTAAATAAAATTCAGCGAAACTTTTCTTTCTGATCATATATCATTTATTCAAGGTGTATAATTGTATCTTAGTTCATTCACGATTAAAATAGTTTAGGGAAAAATAGATGGACGATAAAGTCATATCATTCGTCGAAGAAAGTTGCTTGATAATCGAGAACGGAAGAGAAATAATAAAATGTAACCAAATGTATGAAAGTTAACTGTCCACTAGACGAATATAAGAAGGGTGATGAATAAATTAAAAAACGTGAAAGTGACAATAACGAACAATTAAAATAAATAAAACTAAAAGGAATTAGGGTTGGATAGAGAATGCTGGTGAGCCGCCTATGCTCCTTTACGAGGAGTAACAGGCGTAAGTAAGTAATTAAGTAAAAGGAATTACAAGTATGTATTAACAATCAAATCACTATTTATGAAGATTAAATGTTAGGGCTAATGGATGAATGATGACCTGTATGCGTCTCATTATGAAAAGAGTTCAAATGTGAAAAGATGAATTCCTAGTGTGGTGTGTGCTACTTATGTAGACATAAGTAGTATATGACGTGTATTTATTTATTTATTTATTTTAACACATAGATATCGGTACAAGAAGGCACCAAATATATATGCGCCACACAGATCTCATTTGATATGTGTGAGGGCTGTGATACTGCCCGGGTGCCCAAACCGAAGCAGGTGGTTTTCTTAGGGGGCCACAACCCGAGCCTTCGACCTGAAGATCTGATCCACAAGACAGTGGAGCATCGTGAGGAGATGCAATTCCATGGTAGCCGGTGACCAACGATTGGTTCATACACCATTTGTTCCCTCAGGCAGGATACTGGAGCCCATGTGCACGATTGGTTTGGAATCCGGTTAAAGCGCCGGACATTCGCTTTTCGTCCTCTCATTTTCGTAAACAACACCCCCGCCACGAGAAGGCAGTGAGTAGGACTTCCCTGGCAGGGGCTGTATACGCGTGGCCATGTGAGAGCATTTCGAGAGGAGGAGCGGACTCCCCCCACTCTCGGCCATACCAGGGCATTTGGGGGCCGTGAGTCATGAACAGAATGTCTGGCAGCAGAGAGACGAGAAGATCGAACAATAAAGAATGAAGAAAGAATGTAATTTGTAGGAAAATGAAAGAACAAAGGAATTCTGAGTCATTTGAGACAATTGATGAATATTTTGCAAATTGAGCATTTACTTATATGGTTGTTAGATTTTACTAACTAGTTCTGTAATTTGTTGTTATGAAATACATTCAATTGTCCCTCATTGGTGTTTTGTTCACTACACTAGCACCTCCGCTAGTGTACAACTTATTAATTTGTGCTTCTCTCGAACTAAAGCACATGGCTGATTAACAATGTATTGATATCAACAAGTAAAAAATACACATACATTTTATTAAACACAAATTCATTGACTAAGAATTCATTAATATTAACTTATTATTATTATTTGAACACATAAATATTGGTACAAGGGGGCACCAAATATATATGCGCCACTGGTGTTTTGTTCACTACACTAGCACCTCCAACAATAGGATCAAATCTCAGATGTTATATTACCGCTCAACTATATAATCGATGATTATCTCAATTATTTACAACATTCATCTGTCACTTACCTGATTTTCTCAACCAATCAAGTAACAATTGATTAGTTAGTCGACAAATAAGACTTGAACCAGGAGCTTTTGGTTGAATAGCAGCTATATCACCAGAACGTCCAATACCATGTGTAAACCTACATTTTAAAGAAATAATCTTAATATTAACCATATAAGCAAATTCAACATGTGAACACCTATTAGGAATGAATGAAATACGAAACGGTTTGTAAATTTATTCCATCAGAAAATATAGTGTGATTGTAAACTATGTGTACTTTATTATTCACTGCTATTCATCGAGTGATATGGATGTCGGGTACAAGCATCTAAGTAGTGAAAAAAGGTCACTTAACAAAGCCATGGATTTGCATTAGCTCATATGACTTGCCTATTGTGATGAAGCAACTGAGCTATACTGGCTGGAACAACCGTTCCTCAAGGTCCTACCATGCCAGACAGGTCGGTTGAAGAGCGGTAAGACTAAAAGCAACAAAACCAAGATCCGAAGGCGAAGTCGTACTGCTGACTGTACAGAGGTGTGACAGCAGTAAGGTGTTTCCTTCAGACAACCAGCATAACAGCGATGCTGCCTTCCCAAAAGGAGGGGAGGGGTTAGAAAAGGTCGACCCTAAAATGCACACCGCCTTATCCCACGGATATCCGTATCCGGCGGTAAGGTCTCAACAAGTACGGAGCTAACACAAAAATTACTCATAAAAAGGTCGTGTGTGACCGACCTCAAGCAGCTGTCCCTTGGGCACTGCGGTCACGCTCTCAGGTCACTATGACCACCTCTAATCCAATTTCATTTTCAGGTACCTCCAGCAGAACCCTTCCACGGTGTGAGCAACCGGGAAGTGATAATCGCCCTCATACCTCTAACAGCACTCAAGACCACTGTATTCATAATCAACCTACCTCTTCGATTCCTATTATTCCTCTTACATCGAATTTCAAATCTAAACTCCCTCTTTCGGCTTCCTCCTCAAGTGTCACCACAGCCAACGATTCTAGTGCGCAAAACACTGTCCCAGGTCTACTGAAACCTCGCTCCAAACTACACATTGTAGCCTTCAACGTACGCACACTATGCCAAATCGGTCAGCAGGCTTCCTTGGCTAAAACCTTAGAATCTCGTACCATTGATGTATGCTGTGTCTCCGAAACACGCATACAGGATCCTAGTGTGGTCATTCACTTGACCTCACCTCGACAAAACGGAGTGCCGACGAGATACACCCTCCGTGTATCTGGCGACCCGATGGCTAGTTCTCGTGGACTTGCAGGTGTAGGCATAGCACTAAGCATGAGGGCGGAACAAGCGCTATTAGAGTGGATCCCCGTTAACAGTCGTCTATGCGCTGTTCGGCCAAACGGCTCCGTAAGAACTCGAAAGGATAGGGACACACGTCGTTGCCTTTTCGTCGTTTCTGCCTACGCTCCCACTGACTGCAGTTCGGGTGAAGTGAAAGATGAATTTTACAGAAAACTCTCTGAACTTCTTCAGAAAGCTAAACGTTCAGACATAGTACTCGTAGCAGGCGACTTTAATGCCCAGGTAGGTAGTTTAAACGAAACAGAAAGACATTTAGGTGGGTATTTTAGTATTCCGGCACAGAGAACAGATAATGGTGATCGTCTGCTGCAACTTTGCTCAGACAATCGTTTATTTTTAGCAAACACAAATTTTAAGCACACGGAGAGACATCGTCTAACATGGCGACCCCCTGCACCAAACCAACGATGGACTCAAACAGACCATATTGCCATCAGTCATCGTTGGAGAGGGTCGATAGAAGATTGTCGCTCATTCTGGAGTACCTGCTTGGACTCCGACCATGCCCTAGTACGAGCACGCATCTGCTTGCGCCTCACTGGACGCAAAAAAGCCACACAAAAAAGTAATGAGAAAACCAAAAGTAGGTTCCAGGAACAACTGAGGTCACACTTAGGTAGTTCTGAAAACGAGGCTGACCCTGATGTTGATTGGAAAGACATACAAGCAGCTGTGGAAACAGCAGTGACATCTACTAGTGATTTAAACCATAGGGTTACAAAGAACCAATGGATTTCTTCAAGGTCTATTGCACTGATAGATTCTCGTAAACTCATCCCATCAGGTTCTGAACACGATGAAGAGCGTAAAGAAATCAGATCTAGGTTAAGCAAAAGTCTAAGGAACGATCGTGAGCAGTGGTGGGCAACGAAAGCAAAAGAGATGGAAAAGGCGGCGGCTATAGGGAACACAAGACAACTCTACAGACTAATAAAAGAGACTGGAATTAATAAATCAAGTGTAAGTCAGACTATTTCGGAAAAAGACGACACTCTCATCTGCTTCCAGTCCAGACGTTTAGAACGATGGGCGGAACACTTTAAGGAGCAGTTTAGCTGGCCTTCAGCTACTCTACAACTACTCTCTATTCCCAGACAGTGTGAATGGAACATTGAAGTAGGTCCCCCAACTCTAGCTGAAGTTCAAAAGGCTATAGCTAATCTGAAACGAGGAAGGGCAGCTGGTCCAGATGGATTGGCCCCAGAGGTCTTTAAGGATGGTGGTCTAGTTTTAGCGATAAGGTTGACTAATATTTTAGCTAAAATCTGGGAGTTAGACGTTATTCCATCTAACTGGTCACAATCACTTATCGTCCCAATATTTAAGAAAGGGTCAAAATCATCCTGTGACAACCACAGAGGGATTAGTTTAACTAATATAATATCTAAAATACTAGCTTCGATAATTTTCGGACGCCTAACTAAGACTCGTGAGCTGCAAACACGTGAAAATCAGGCTGGCTTCAGACCTGGTCGTGGCTGCATCGACCACATATTCACCATTCGTCAGGTTCTAGAACACAGGCATACTTATCGGCGTCCGACAATGGTGGTATTCCTTGATTTAAAAGCAGCGTTTGACTCTGTTGACCGAGAGGTTCTGTGGCAGTGTCTGTCATTGAAAGGCGTACCTCAGAAGTACATAAACCTTGTGAAGGCTCTTTACTCGAACACTACTAGTCGGTTCAGAACCTATGGCAAAGTGTCATCCGCTTTTGCAACCTCAAGTGGCGTCCGTCAAGGCTGTCCACTTTCTCCTTTTTTGTTTAACTTTATCATAGACCTACTGATGGAAATAACGTTCTCGTTGACTGAATTCTCGGGTATTGATCTCCTACCAGGAGGTCCACTTATTGACTTAGAATACGCAGATGACATAGTCCTGTTTGGTGAAGACGCTGATGAAATGCAGAGTCTTTTGGTAGCACTGAGCAACAATGCTAGAATGTTTGGGATGCGCTTTTCTCCCTCTAAATGCAAGTTGTTGCTTCAGGACTGGTCTGCGTCAACACCTGAACTAAGGATAGGGGGTGAAGTAGTCGAACGCGTTGACAACTTCACTTATCTTGGAAGTCTGATCAGCCCTAATGGGTTGGTGTCTGACGAAATCTTAGCACGGATTCGAAAAGCTCGCTTGGCCTTTGCCAACTTACGTCATCTATGGCGAAGGCGAGATATCCGTCTATCAATTAAGGGTCGAGTATACTGCGCGGCAGTTCGTTCCGTCCTTCTATACGGCTGCGAAACATGGCCTTTAAGAGTAGAAGATACTCGTAAGTTACTAGTATTTGACCACAGGTGCCTTGAAAATATTGCGGGTATCTGCTGGGATCACCGGGTAAGTAATAGTGATGTTAGACGCAGGGTATTAGGGAATGATGGTAAATCAGTTGATGAGGTTATGAACCTTCATCGACTGTGATGGTTGGACCACGTGCTGCGTATGCCTGAACACCGATTACCACGACGCGCAATGCTAACCGGTGTTAGGGATGATTGGAAGAAAGTTAGGGGCGGCCAAACCAAAACGTGGCATCAGTGCTTGAAGTCACTAACTTCTGGTCTGAGCCATGTTGGTAGATGCAGACTGCCTGGTTGGGGTCCGCGTGACCATCGTAACCAATGGTTGGAAACTCTTGGTGACATGGCTCAGAATCGATCACAATGGCGTCGGTGTATACACTCTCTGTCTTCCTTTAAACTAAGAGATTGAAATCACTTCAAATCTTTCTTTCTAGGAACTAATTCTATCTTCCTGTACTATCTCCTTAAACACACTCTTTCTTCTATATATTACCACCACTGAATTAATTACTTCTATGAATCCGGTGTTCATCTTGTTGTGCTAATGCGGTATGGCAACTTGGACCGATGCATATACGTGCCTGGTCCTACGTTGCAGCTGACTGACTGACATATGACTGATAAGTATTAAAATACCACTTCGCCTTGATCAGTACGAACATTAAGATCATACGGAGCGAAGCTGACTTAGTGGTCATCAGGAGTAACAAAGAAGTTTCTTTGGGTATTTTTCAGTTGAGTGTAAAACGGTCCAGAATAAGTTAATACAGGTCAAATGAATCTATTTAATAGAGTAGGTTTCAAACAGCTTAATACTTGTTAACTAACTTTCCTATGTCTTTGAATGTACTATCTAATTGATTCCATATGTTCTCTTGTTGGGTCGCCTCATTTTATACCGCCTTTAAAAGTTAAGCATATTAATTTAATTCGTATTTGTTTGCATTAACCCGTTGTTGATATCATGAGTAAAATTTGATCAGTCTTGGTTTGGACACGTGCATCCTGTGCGGATTGCTTCGGTACGGCCATCGTGATACAAGCACATACAGGAAAAGTACAATATAACCAACAATGGAACCCAAGCTGTACATTTAGTCCTTATTTAAACTCGTCAGATCGATATGCTTGCATCCCAGAGCTGGCATCCACTCCGGAAGTCGAACCAAGCACCATTTGCTTTAAATGCCAACGCATTATACACTTAGTACATTCCATTTATTTTATACAAGACTGATAAGTTTCCGTCATAATGTAGTGGAAACTACTCAAAGGATGTTTGTAAGTAGTATGTAACAGAACGTGGTGTCGAAGTTGCAACAATTATAGGATAGAGTGAAGTTTCAGTGCATCAAAGCCTGGGGTTGGCAAAACACTTAAAGACCAAATTGAAGAAAGTTTAAATTGCAGAACACACTGGGAGATGAGAATGGAAAATACTTCGTAAATTTTCGCAATAAATACACATACCAACCGCTTATTGTCTTATTTCACAATAATATCAACAGCGGGATAAGCCAAGCCATGAAAAATTAAATTAAGTTTCATAGACCCGCTGAACAAATGGATGGCTATCTGGACTCAGGAGCTAAGTGGATAACGAGTTGCGTTTGAGGAGAAGGTTACTGAAACCAAATCCGAGAGTGAAGAACAACTCTGCAAACGCATCCATCTGATGGGTCTCAAATGGGAAGAAACGCGCATCCGCAATTCCAATATTAGCCACCTTCAGTTATTTGATATATACCTGTGTTTACTGTAAAGCATAGGTAGTACAACCTTATTGCATGGGAACTAGAGATATACTGATCTGTCACCTAAACAGAAGTATATGCTATGTGATTTACAATTATAATTCACTAAATTAATGTTGCATATATGAACGAAAAAGCTACATTAATGAATGCCGATCTAACACACTGAAGTCGAAGTTTAAAGTTGACTAACTTATTGACTCTTCACTGTCATCAAACAAGAATTACTAAGATTAAGCTTTGTCAACATAGTATGCCACCGAGTACGAAAAAATGTTATAGAGATATTCAAACACATATTGGGCAGCTTACCCATAATGACGACGACGAATAAAATTCACAAGTACTCGTCCTTCTCGTTCTCCAACACCCACAGAATTCTCCCAGTTATTAGAATCCAAAGATGATATTTGGAGAAATAATGCTTCAATATCGGCTTCAGAAAAGCCTACATCTGGAAGTCGTCCCTGAATAAGTTCAAATTATTACGGAATATATTTCGCAAAAATAAAAAAAAAATTTACAATAACAAAATCTATGCAATTATTTATTGTGATACCATATGAGCTATGATGAATTGAATTTCATCCAAAAGATAATTTGTCCGATTTACTCTGTGAAAATTCGTAATATCTTCACGGGGAAATATTAGATTACAAGTAAAAAATTATGAATTTTATATTAGTTAAATACCAAGTGAAATGTTGGATTTACTTCAAATTCATTCGCTGAGATTTTACAAATACATTCTTTAAGTACAGATAACGGCTTAGCTATTTACATTAGTAACTAGTACATCACATTAGAAAGTTAATAACTAGTAAATGAAAAATCGGCAGTCGCTTTGCTGAACATCAAATGTCACTTCAGTATTGACATACATACACCCTTACATTCTACAACAAATGATATATAGAGTTTAACGACAAAGAGAGAATCAGTCAGTCAGTAACAACGTGGAACTTCGTACGTACGTACATCAGTTCGAGTTGCCATACCACTTTAGCACAGAGATGCAGTTGTCGATTCAAATCCCGCAGTGGTGGAGGTGGTAAGAGTATAAGTAGTAATCGGAAAGACTAGGCTTTGGATATGTTATCCAAGGAGTATGATCCAGTGAAATATATTTGAAAAGAGAAAAAGAAGACATGAAATATTCAGAAGATTAGGATTTCGGAGAACACAAAGAGTGGATGCACCTGCGCCATCGCAAACGAATTTGAGCCATGTCATTAAGGGTCTCTAACCATCGGTTGCTATCATCTCGCGGTCCCCAACCAGGTAGTCTACTCCAACCAATATGGCTCAATCCACTTGTCAATGACTTCATGGATTTGTGCCATGTTTTGGTCTGGTCGCTCCTACCTTTCCTCCAACCTACTCCAACACCATAAAAAATCGCACGTTGGATCAGGCGGTGGTTGCGCATACGTAACACGTGTCCCAGCCATCTCAACTGATGAAGTTTCACTGCTTCATCAATTGATTTGCCGTTCTTACCTAGTACCCGTTTCCTGACAATTATTTGCATTGATTAATTTGCTTTTCTGGAAAGTTGCGTCAGGTCGATTGAACCCTTTGTCAATCGAAACCCAAGATAAATACTGAGGTCATGATCAGGAATTGCAACTTTTGAAGTTGCTATTCCATAAAACAAACACCAAGTGTCAATGAATTTGTATCAAAATAAGTTAAATACATTCTGAGAACATCGAAACGGTATCAGTATTCAGATCATAATAAAGCGAATTACTTCGATGCTACTCTTTGACACTTGAGATTCGAAGATTGCTAAGACTTCAGGTCCATCGACCAATTAATTAGTTTGGCTCAGAATAAACACTTCATGATCTCACTACATCAACCGAAATACATATAAAAAAGCGCAAAGACGTTTATTGAGACATGACGTTATACAACAGTACATAAGTCCAAGTTGTAAAAGTTTGTAATTTTAAAGAAAGCGGACGTTATCAAAAATCGAAAGATATTGCCACAAATAAAATTTGTACATCGAGTAAAGGGCATGTGACAAGTGATAAAACTAAAAAGGTTTTAAATGTACAGAATGAATGAATAATGGTTCAACATATTACCGGTTATTTTTATTATCATCCGAGGTATCTGACACTGATTTCTGTTAATTTAAAACTACAAACTAAAAAGTTCATACCTACTAATACATGAAACTAACAGCTTTTTATTTAATTTATTCCTATTTAAGACATTATCATATATCAGACTACATGAGAGAATATGACTAGCCAACGTATGTTTATGCCAATTAACAACTTCAAAAACTGGCCATCTTTTCCTACCTAGGATGTTTTACCTGATATCACTGCTTATCCTAATGTTTCATCATACATGCATCATCATGCTGTAAATTTCGCAAAGACGCAGCTAACTGCGGTTGAATGATCAAATACTCACCTGATCTAGTACGGCGATGAGCTTCTTTTTCTTTTTAATTGATCTCTCCTGACACCTTTTAACGTGCGAATCTCCAATATATTTTTTAGTGAGACGCAGAATGTCGTCTTCCATCAGTAAAAATTGCTCGAACGTACCGTTTGAGCACCGCAAGTTCGGAACGGGAGATCGGTATCCAGGAAGACAACAGTTAAAAGATCAGGTATACAATCTGAAAAAATATAGAATGAAAGCCTTAATATAGGTAGAACAAAAGTATAATGTTTTTTGCGAGTAATTTTACCGATATCAAGCCAGATTGTTTTCACTGGTTGTTGTCATAATTATTAACTCCACACGAAAAGAGGACCAAGAGATTAAGCAAAACATTTTAATATTAAAAGAAGCTAGATAAGTACGGTTATAGTAATAAATTACCAGGGACTCATGGAGGTATACATTAAGTCCATTACTACTAACTGCAGTAACAATTAGTAAAAATAACAACTGCTTCACACAATATCAACCAACCAAAGTAGAACCTATCACATATTTGCACCGCCCCAATCTGCTGCAGCACAAGGTTAAATTATCGGAAATCGGTGGTAGCATAAATGGTAGAAAAACGATTAGACAGAAAACGTAATCCAAGAAAGAATGAATCAGAGAAACCAAAGGTACAAAATAACTTCAAACCTCAGAACTTAGGGGAATGAAAAGAGTGAATGTATCCATCCTAATGTCACCGACTTTGAATCGTGTCACCTGTATCCACTAATAATAGTAATAATAATAATAATAATAATAATAATAATAATAATAATAATAATAATCGCCATAATTTCAACAACAGTGCATTCAAAACAGGAATTCTTAACCTAATGTATGGACGAATGATGATTTCATTGACTTGTGTAACGTTCGAGTGTCACTTCCGCAATTTTTTATGACTGACTCCCACGGCACCTGACACTGTGCGTCGAGGTAGGCAATAAAGATTAACAATATTAGTGACCTACTTGCTAAATCTGCCTAGTATCTGAGTTTAAATTCAACATCAAAACACGTAAGCATTGCCCCCGATTGCCCAGGTATGGCCGAGAGTGGGGAGAGTCCGCTCTCCTCGAAATGCTCTCACATGGCCACGTGTATACAGCCCCTGCCAGGGAACTCCTACTCACTGCATTATCGTGGCAGGGGTGTTGTCTACAAAAATGAGAGGACGAAAAGCGAATGTCCGGCACCAGCTTTAACCGGATTCCAAACCAATATTGCACAAGGACTCTAGTATCCTGAGGGAACAAATGGAAATTTAGAACAACATGTATAACAAATGGAGTATGAACCAATCGTTGGTCACCAGCTACCATGGGACTGCATCTCCTCACGATGCTCCACTGCCTTGTGGATCAGACCTTTAGGTCAAAGGCTCCGGGTATAGCCCCCTAAGCAAACCACCTGCTTCGGTCTGGGCACCCGGGCAGTACCACAGCCCACACACAAATAAAATCTTGTGTGGCTCATATATATTTGGTGTCTTCTTGTACCAATATTTATGTGTTCAAATAAATAAATAATAGTAAATAAAGCATTACTTCAATGCCACCTAAGATCAAATACCAATAACCTACGAACTTTCTCGCTTTTTAAAGGCCATGTTTTATGGCCATAGGGTGAAATACAGAGTACTGTTGTTTAAATGTGATTGGTTCGTCCATAAATTATAGTTTCGCCAACATTAATCTTCCAAGAAGTGGGTGGCGTAACCAAAAGTTGTACCATGGTTAGTTTAGTGGTTGGAGTAGACCACTCATTAAGCAAAATGTTGAACAAGGAGAAGTGAGCTAAGAACATCTATACATCGGAACACTGTGTATTTTGTCAGCGCCTTCAAGAAACGATTATACTGTTGGTATATTTCAAGCTCCTAATTATAATTTCATATTAAGAGGAATTCCATGGCAACTAGACTATAATCGTGGTGAAATTCTTGAAAAATCCCCGAAAAAGTGATATTCCTGAGCTGAGGTTTTTAAGTCACAGGGGACCTGCATGACATTTCATGGGCCGTGAATAATTATTGCCTCTGAATAGATATTTCAGCTATTAATTATTGAACATAGGAAGCTAAGTGGCAACTATACAACCAATATATTAGGACGGGACATATTTCTCACTTAACTCACAGACAGTGAATGAAGTAGATAATTTGGTAGCTGGTTTACTAAAGACAGACTAATTTTAATGATTCTGAGATTGCAGACAAAGATCATTCCAAAATTGTAAAATTACTCACTCTAATTATTTCGTATGAGCTGTTTTTTGGCCGGATATCAGTTACAGTAGTAGGAAAACAACACCCTACGGAGCTTAAAGCGTGTTCAACACTTACGACTAGCGTCTTTTTAAACCGCGAATTGTAATGCTGTGAACATGTACCTTGAGGTTTGGTGGATGTAAACAAAGATATGCTTCTAATAATGAATACATATTTGTACTAAGTTAACCAGGGAGAAAATTAATTTGTAACAAACACAATTCATGTGTTTGAATGAAGCGTGAACGAATAGGTTTCCGTTTTATTTGCTTTCACTTCGAGTAACTGTGAATCACAGTTCCTACAGGTAACCCAGTATATCCATGAAACAAGCACAGATGATCATAAAGTTTCCAAGTTCTTAAGGATTTATCACTCTTGCTCTTTGAGAACTATAGGGGGTTTTTCTACAAACGGTTCAAATGGTTCTGAATGGTAAAGAAGTAGGAGTTTCCGTTAACTAGGCTCTCGTATCTAGTTGCAGTAGATCAAAGATGTCTCAAGGCAGGAGCCTACATATATTCAACGATAAAAGAGAAAAATACTGTTAAATTGTGGTAAGATTCTGTTCTGAGTCCTGAATAACATATCAGGTTTCCTCCTAAATAACTCTTGAGAATTCGCTTGGACGGACTCAGTCAGTAGCGAATACCGAATTCGATTGCACTAAAAGAGTTGATCCTGTGTCTACAACTCATTCTGTGATATTTTATCTTTACGTTTTGGGTATTACTCCTGATTTTTATATTGGGACTGAACTTATGTAAGTATTTAAGCAGATGCTCAGAAGTGTTTAGGACGCTATAAGTCACCTCTGAGATAGTCTCAGATTCAGTTTCAGTTTGGAAAGGACAGGAGGCTTGATGGCCTGTGTTAGTCCTGGCAATGGTGTTCCCTCAGTTGATCCAACTTTCTTTTGAAAGAATCTACGGATGGAGTTTCAACCACGTGCTGAGGTAATGAATTCCACTCGTTGATGATTCGATGGGAAAGTCGATAATCAGCTGACAAGTAATTTGTTCTGGGCTTGTGAAAACTTTGGAGTGCTCTCGTAAATTTCCTGTTTTGGAAGGGAAGAAAAATGAGGGCATATCAGGTGCCAATTTATCACTAAGCAATTTGGAAACTGTAATCAAGTCGCCTATAGTTCTTCGACATGACAAAGGGAATAGGTTTATCTTGGCCAGTCGAGCATCATACGGAAGCTTCGCTATTCCAGGAATCAGCTTAGTTGCTGTTCTCTGGACCTTTCCCAAAAGCTCACTGTCTTTTTTTAAGCAGGGGCTAGCCGCTTGTATGCAGTACTCAAGTTTAGGACGTACGAACACTGTATACAAAGTCAAAAACGTTTGAGCGTCGACATGAGTAAAAGCCCTACGTATTGACCATAAAGTTCTAAAAGCTTTGGCGGCTATTGCACGGCAGTGTGCAGTAGTCTTTAGATCTTGGCTAACGATGACTCCTAAGTCATTATGCATCTGGACAACAGATAGCTCAGTGTTATTCATCGTGTATGTATCTGTACCTTGATGACCGATATGCATCACAACACACTTGGAAGTATTTATCGGTAGCTGCCAGGTATGAACCATTCAGATAATTTCTTCAGGTCATTTTGGAGTTCTAAGCTGTCACCCTTACATCGTATTGTTCTCCATATCTTGACATCATCAGCATATAGCAAGACCGATGATGATATTAAGCGAGGAAGGTCATTTACATACAAGAGGAATAGCACTGGCCCCAAAACTGTACCCTGGTGCACTCCACTAAGCACAGTTTCCCAGCTAGATAATTTTGAGTTTACCCGTACTCTTTGTTGGCGCCCAACAAGGAAGTCTTCTATCTACGTCAATAGATTGCCTCCGATTCCGACTTTTTTTAGCTTATATAACAGCCGGTTGTGCGGAACCTTGTCAAAAGCTTTGCTGAAATCAATGTAAGCCACGTCTACAGGTAACTTTTGGTTCTTAAAAGCGCACCAGCTTTCTCGAGTGACTAATAAGTTAGTGAGACAAGAATAACCTATTCTGAAACCGTGCTGCTTCTCCGAGAGGATTTGGTTTACATCGAGGTATTTAAACAGCTCTTCCCGAATAATCTTTTCTAAGATTTTAACAACCACACTAGTTAGGCTAACGGGTCGGTAATTCTCAGGTTTATGTTTCATACCTGTTTTGAAGACAGGACTTACTATGGCGTTCTTTCAGTCTTTTGGTAAACGATACTGCGTGACGGATAGCTTAAAGCATATACTTAAAGGGTTCGCAACGAAGTTAGATAATTCCTTTAGTAGCCTAGGATGCAATTCATCGGGCCCCATGGATTTACCTATGTCAAGCTTATTTAGCAGATCAAAGACATCGAGTTCATTTATGGTCACGCTATCCAGTGTATGTGTGGGGGGGTTTTATGCGCTGACGGGAAGGGTGCTTCTATGGTATATACATTGCTAAGGTAGTTTGAGAACACTTGAGCCTTACCAAAGTCATCTTTCACTAATCACGTGGCAGTACTGTCTCCCCATAGTGCATGAATAATTCCTCTTATTTTTGTCCTTTGGTTTATATAGGAATACAGGCGTTTAGGACATTCTATGGATTCCTTAACAATTTTTTCTTTGTACAGCTTTCTAGACTTACGGAGGGTCGAGGCACAGGTATTCCTAGCTTTTTGGTACTGAGATTTTGTCTCATCAGTCCTCAGTAACCTAAATCTATCCCACATTTTTCTTCTCTTACGGAGAAGGATGCGGACCTCCCTATTGAACCATGGTGGGGAGTTTCTCGGCCCCCTTGGTATTGTCCAAGTTATGTGAGGTGCGGTAACTTTTAAGTATAAATTGCGGAATGCATCTCAAGCCGTTTCGATTGAGGACTCTGGGTCTATTGTCCAATCTACTAACGATGCTGTGTGCATGATATCTGGTATGTTTGCTTTCCGGACGTTAGGTCTGTATTGAGCTGACGCGTGCTCGTGTTTGACAGTTATATGGAAGTCAAAAGTTAAAACTGCGAGATCACTTTTATCTAGGGGTGGCATGTAATGGAGGTTCGCAACGTCATCCTCATAGTGAGTTAATATAAGATCTAGTAAGGATGATTCAGTATTCGGGTCGTGCCTAGTCGCTTCTTTCACATGTTGCACTAGGGCACAAGTTATTATCGCATCAACTAGTTCCTGCTCGAAGGAATTATCTGACGATTCTGTTCGCAGATTTCCCCAGTCTACCATAGGTGCATTAAAGTCTCCTAGGATTAGACATCGACCGCTTTGCGACCAATTTTTGAGCCTGTTTAACAGAACATCATTTACCTCACAGCTTGGACTGCGATAGACCAAACCAATCAGCAGCTCTTGCCCTTTGAATTTCAAGCGGCAACTAATCAATTCACACGTCCCACTTTCATGGGATGCACTGTCAATAATGACAAATGGGATAGCATTCCTAATGAAAAGAGCTACTCCATCTCCTTTACGCTTATGTATTCTGTCGGTCCTTACTAAAGTAAAACCCTCAAAATCAAGTTCCATACTATCCATGGACTGTGTCAACCAGGTTTCTGTGACTGCGATTATGTCTGACTTTGTAGAGTCACTCTGATCACCTAGTTCCGATTGCTTATTGAGCAAGCTTCGGGCATTAGTGTAGCAGATCCGAAGCCTATTTAAGTGGCTTCGTGCTTCACCCAGAGTGGCTTCGGCATCATTCTCAAACGAAGCCTCACTACCCAAAAATTTACAATTTTAAGGTCCTTTTTGTTGGGGTATTCAGAAAATACCCCAGAAATTATCTAGTGCTATTCCTGAATGAGAAATAGCGTCATTGCCCCATTGGTCAACATTCTTCCAACGTGTTATGTCCCTATTGGTCAATATTTATTTGTGTCATTTCCTGAAGGTTAAATCTTGTACAAATGTTACTTTCTATTTTATGGTACGATGTAGTCTGTTTGATTGCTATATAAAGAGAGTATGTTTGAAATATAATGATTCATATCTTCGAGGCTGAGACTTGTGTTCTGGACTCGATTGGCTGGGCTAGACAGGGAAGCAGGACCAATCAGGACTCTAGGCTGCTCGCTCGTGTTTTATGCGTCACTGTTTCGATCGATAATAGGCTGCTCTCTAATAGGCGGATCACACGTTATAACACTTTTCGCCAGCGTCTAACCTAATTTGTAGTTCTTTATCGGCTTCCCATCTTTTTACACGGTCTGCCAACGACAAGTCCTTTCGGATAAAAACTCCCAAACCCTCTTATTTATGTCCATTCTGTAAAATTAAGTCCCTTTCTTTTGAAGATTTGAATACTACTTTAAGCAGTCTGGATTGATTAGGCTTCACGTTCGCTAGACTACCTAGTCTATACACACTTATCAAGGTGACTCCTGAGATATTTTGAGGCATGAGTTGATTAACTAGCTGTTTCATGAAAACAATGTCATGCTCAAAAGAATTTTCGGTTCAGAGCTTTCGCTCTCCTTGATTCTATGAAAAATAACTGATCTGTCACTGTGATCAGCCTTTGAATTTTCGACTACTTTTATGGGGGCAGGGTTCCCTTTCGTATCGTTATTATGTTTCTTCCTTACAACCTGTACCCATTCTTCAACGCTGCTTGGAGAAGCAACCACAGTCGCGTCAAACATATTGTGGGATTCTGGAGGGTTTTCGATGACTTGGGAGGTCAGGTTGTGTGTCCTTTAGAAACTGATCGAGCCTTGCGATTGCGGCTTCTATGTGTCTCTTTCTGGATACCATTTTGAAGACGTGCGACAGAAGAAACTTCTTTCCTTGGGATTTTAGTTAGGACAGACCTCTTTGGAGACTGATCTCCCTCCTTCGCTCGGTGCGAGTAATCTATTTTCGAACTCACTTGAGATTGCTTCACGCTAATTTGAGTGTCGACAGAGAGAGTTTTTGTTGATGTGTCCCGATCACTCTTGCCAAAACATTTTTTTCGCAGCACTATCCAGTCATTTAAACACGGGTCCTTTTTTAAAAAAAGAACTAGATGCAAAAATACTCAGAGACAAAAATGATCTATGACCGAAAAAAGTGGAAAACTGTAAATCGTTAGAACCAAGGGTACTAACAGATACAA